ATATAATTTTCTTATAAAGATAATAATTAATTATTTTGTTAGAACTCGATAATTATCCTAATTATATTTTAGATTTTTTATATTTTAAAATGAGATGTTTATTTATCTGCAGTTAGTTATACGAATTCAAACATCAAGCTTTAATAAGTTGTATTTATGCATAATTTATTTGTAATCTTGAATTTTAAGTAATATGCATCAATATACAGTACTTCATGCATAAAAAATGGTTTTTAAGAGTTTTTGAATGTTTTATAATATAGTATAGATATTACCTGGCCCTTTTCCAGCAGATACCGACACAGAGACTCCGAATCTTTAATCAAACCAAAGCCATCAACCTCCGCGCCATAGTAATAGCTGAAATCAAGAAACAGGTAGAAAGCACCCTGCAAAAAAACCAAGATCATCAAGTCCTAGGAATGGACACGAATAATTTCATGGGGCCCTGAAGATAGCAGCCAAAAAAATCACCAATGGCCTTGTGGAGACTCAAACTGGCAACCTACGGGAAAGATCTCAAGGCCTAGATGCAACTAGGGATGGAAGCAGATGAACAAAATAGTAATTCTTTTTCCTGTGAACGAGACTAACGTGCCCAAACAAAATGGTAATTCTACCTGAGGTTCGGATATTTTGACACCATCCAGTTCCCTGAAGGCTGTGACCAAAAAATCTCGTCGTTCACGAAATGCTTTCACCATATGTGATACGGCTTCTCCACCAGCATATCCCATTCCTAAAGCAGCAACTGCGGCTTTTTGAGCTATACTACTGGCACCTGAAGTGGTCTGAATCAACAAAGATGAGGGACTAAGTTGAGTCAGTATGCAAAGGATGTCATATTCAATAAAAGATCAAATGTAAGATGACTCCTAAAGTAGCTTTAATGTGACATCCTCTCCCATATTAATTATCATATGAATTATGAGTCCCTTACAACTCCTTAGCAATGACATACTAATAACTTCCCACCATGGTTTTAGTTGATTTAAAAGTTATTTGGTAAAATGTTACTTTACGGCTTAGAAATTGACAAAAATGTATGAGAAAGTGACTTTTTCTCGAATTGGACTTTAAACCAGGTCACTGAGGTCAAGGATTTCAAGCCTCACAAAAAGGTGGAGTGTGTGTGAGTGTTGTCGTATGCGAATAGTATATACTTTAAAAAAAATGATTGAACTTCAAAACTATCAAAAATAAGATACAGGTCTGCAGTTATGCACACAATCCAGCTTCACGTAGGGCTTCTAATTTTTTTATATGTACAAGTAATTTTCGTTTTGATGAATCATATGGGAAGTAAATCTTGATAAAGTTTCTATAAAGAAATGGAAAAATTTGCAACCAAACGCAGAATAAGAGGATGTGCAATGATATTATGTACCTGACTTTGAATTTTTCCACATGCAGCAACAAAGTGTTTAGGACCAGCAATATATCCAAGTCTCCAACCAGTCATTGCAAAAGCCTAGGCAAATTCACACTAAGTGAGTCATGGTTTATATGAGATTCCGTGAATGATCATTGACATAGGATGTTCAATGATCAAAGAATACCCCTTTTGAGTGCATTTATAGATAACCAAATCATTAATGTAACCATATACCTTAGAGAACCCGTTGACTGTTAGTGTCCGTTCCCACATGCCAGGCAAAGATGCAAAGCTCGTGTGGACTGCTGGGGAATATATTATGTGCTCATATATTTCATCAGAGAGCACCTAAACAGAACCGACAACAATAAGGTTCACATTAGCTAAAAAATCATGCTGAAGTAGAAGTTGAGAGTGAGGTGGTCATTCTACCAAGAGTCTTGGATGCTTTGCAACAACTCGTGCAATCTCTTCAAGCAGTTTCCTAGGATAAACAGACCCTGTTGGGTTAGACGGAGAACAAAGAATTAACAGTCTTGACTTCTCCGTAAGCTTAGATTCAAGAAGCTCTGGATCTAAGAGAAAATTTTCTGAAATGCTTGCAGGAAGAATCACAGGTGTTGCATCAGCCAACCTTGCCATTTCAGGGTAACTCACCCAAAAGGGAGCTGGAATTATAACCTGAAAAGGGAGAAAGATTGTAAGATAACAAGATTCTATGTTTACAGATAATGATGATAGCGGTTGTGCATTGCCAGCTATATTATGGTTATATACCAGTTAGAGAATTATGCAATATTGCAAGACAACAATAAGCAATCATATATCCTCTTTTTCGTTTCCGTCAATAAATTAATGACCATAATTTATCATAACTCTATCATGCAGTAGAGTTAGGCAATATACCAGTGGCGGAGGGTGTGCACTATCGTAACGTTTTCTCAGGGGATGCATTATAGTAACATTACTAAACACTACAAACTTTTTTCTTCAGGTATGCACATGCACACCCAATGGACCACATAGGTGAACCCCAGGACTATAGTGTCAAATCGAGTATCGTGTCATTCATCAAAATAATTCCACAAGTAATATAACCTTTGAGTTGCAAAATAATTCCACAAGTAATATAACCTTTGAGTTGCAAAATAATTCCACAAGTAATATAAACTAGTCTATTTACAAAATTTATCGACACTTATATAGCAAAAGGTAAATAGCTCTCGACCTCATCTCCTGGGGAACAAACAGCAAGGACTGCTTGTACTATGCTCTGCTTTGCCCCATTACTAACCACAATCTGGTCAGGTGTGTAGGAAATATTATTCTCCTCTACAATAAGAAATGAAAGAAAATATTTATAAAATTATAAACTTTATCAATCATTTCAGATTACTCAATCTGTAGAACATCCTTGCAATAATTCAAACGGTGGAACTTACCCTTTAGTTTCTTGCATATTGCCGTTCGTAGTTCAAGGGTACCCGCATTAGGAGTATACCTTGTGTAACCTTCACGAATTGCATTTATTCCAGCCTATTCAAAATGAAAAAGATATAAAGATTTTAACTATAGCAATGAGTAGAGTGGATTAGATAAATGATAGACTTATATCATCAGGTCAGGTACCTCAGCAATAACAGCCGGGGTGTCAAAATCAGGTTCTCCAGCAGCTAAGCGAATGACAGGAACACCAGCTTCTACAAGTGCAGTTGCTTGATCAGTTATAGCCACTGTTTTTGAAGGCTTTACGGAGTTGACTCTAGGGCTCAGAGTGGTATCAAGTTCCATTTGCTCAGAGTTGCTTTCTACAATTACTGCTGAACAAATTGTAGAGGACTTATGCCGTCTTCTAGTCTCCAAAGATCTACCCAAAACGAAGAATAGAAACAAAAGTTCATATTGCAGGATAATCCTAGCATAAATAAGTTGCAATAATATGATATTAAATCTACTTGATTTTAAAATTTCAGACAACAATAAATTTCTAGTTAAAAGAATGAGTACATAAGTCTTCATCATTAAAGCAATTAAGGTAAGGCCCTATTTCACCATATATTGTACAACATGAATGCATGGGCAATAGCTGATGTAGAATGAAGATATTTGTTGATCCTCTCTCTCAGTAATTTGATGATAATCCATTTTACCTTATATGAAGTATTTATGTTTCTGTCYTTCAGTTCCAGCGATCATCACTGAGTCTGTTCAGTGATCGCTGAGAACATGTAATTTAAATCCATCAGCGACAGCGATACTTCAACAAGACAAAACTCACACCAAAGAACCTTCAGCGAAAGTCGAAGACTGAAACTGAAGATTAGAGACTGGCGAGTTCGTGATCTGAAGTGGTATTCAGTGATTACAACCTGGTCTACACATGTGTGAAGATTGCCCAAGCCTCAGCGAATGCTGAAGAGACCTTCAGGTTATTCCAACATTCAACGATCAAAAAAAGCTTGTTGAACACGATTGTTTTTGTCTTGTCCTTATACACACAAGGGACAAACTCATACCCTTTCTAGAGCATAGTACGGTACGGAACCGAATAGTTGACTCTACTACCCACCAAAACTCCATGAAAGGATGTCTGCTCATGAATAGGCTTTTGTACTATTCACTGTAGCAAAGGACAAGTCTTTCTCTAAAGGTTTGACACGTGTTCAAACCCTAATACATTGCATTAAATGTGCATTTAATGCAATGGATATAAATAAATGTGTTCTATCTCCATGCAGAGATACCGATACTTACTCTTGAACCCTAACTTATGTTCATAAGTAAAAGAACACACATCTAAGAACACAATACGGTTATCTTCAAAAGCAAGTTAGAATCCCTTTCTAGTATTCTAAATAGTTCTTACCCAGAAAGAACTTACTTTCTTCTAAGTCTTATACAGCAAATCATTTCTCTTTGCTAAGAATTAGTGTGTAACTTAGATTGTTTAGATAGGTTATATTTACCTTATCTTTTCGCAAACAATCTTGTAAAATCTGTATTGATCCTTCTTTATCAATATATATTTTAAATTTGAAAAGTTTATTGTGTTTGTATTCATCCCCCCTTTCTACAAACTGTTATATCCATCCATGATAGTATAGAACATTCTCTAGATAAATGGTGATCTGTAGGGCTTAAAATTAAAATGATGAGATGAGGTTTAGTACTCCCACCAATTTATACATTGGTTCTGATGAACATTTATTTTAGCACCTAAATGAAGGGTTATTGTAGTAATTCATGCAATCCATATCATAATTTTGCATAACATCAACTCAATCACAGTAATTGATGTCTAGTGATTAAAGAATATTTTTTTGACTCCTAGAGAACTGCTAGTAGTAATTTCCATGAATCTGCTTATCAGATTGATAAACAATGACCTTAGAGGCTTAGACTTCATGTTTTATGCAAAAAGCTCATCACTTTTAGGAAGGTGAGACTTTGACTATGATTTGGAACCTTAAATTCCAAATCAGAAATATATATGTTCAAGGTTTAGGATTGGTATTAGAACCAATTCAGTCCAGATCGTTAACTAATTTCGTTACTTGCCACTGAAAATCCAATCTATAGTCCAAATGATCGGTTCTAAGGGGGTCATAAATAGATATACATATATACATGTGTGTATAACTAGTTGCAAGATATTTTACGCGATAAACCCTGCTACTTTGTGGCATACGGGGAATTCCCACAGACTCTGTAAATCCATTCATATGCAAACTTATCCAAAAAGAAAAACAAACACCCCATCAACTAACGAATTCATTTCCCCAAACGTACCAAAAAATCTGTATCCGAATATGTACAACCTAATTGACTTCAATCACAAACAAATACCAGCAAGTACCAATGCCGAATCAAAGCAAAATAAATTACAATGGTAAGATGAAGTAAGTAAGAAGCATACCTGACTGACAGATTGCTATTCAGCTTAGAAGAAAAGGAGAGTGTTCTTGATCTGGTGGAGGTCTGTGAATCAAAACCGAGTGCGAGAGACTGATCTCTGAAGGAGGCAGCGGTGGAAATGCCAGAAATTTTAGCCGCCATGATTCGATTGGGTTCGAATCAGAACCCGAAGGGTATTTAAAGAACATGTGGAAACATGGTGGTAGGTAGGTGGGTGGGTGGGTTGATTCGGTGTACGTTGCAGTCCGGGGGTTGTTGGGTTACCTATTTCTATTCCCTTTTTTATACCCATTGATTAGTCTTGGTCAAAATTTAACAATAACTGTTAGTTTTATATCCGTTCAATATGGTGGGAGCGGTAAATTTAAACGATTTTGAAGTTTTACTGGTTTTATTAGAGAAGATTTAATGATGATATAAGTTACACTTGGTTTTTACATATTAATACAATTTGAATAAATAAGAGTTATGGTTCCAATTACAGTTTATCAATGAAAAAAATTGTATGACAGTTTAAAATCTAATATATTTAAAATCCAACATCTTTAAACGACTGTACAAATATGTTTGATTTACATCAAGAGCAAATAATCAAGAGATCGAGAACGAGATCGAGAGTGCTAGAAAAATTGAATGGGAGAACTTTAATAACTAATTGTGAATATTAGTTTGAATCTCACCTTGAAGGATGAGAAGAAGACATAGAGGTATGAGAGAGTGAAGGTATGAATGAAAGATGTCAAAAGTGTCTTAGGAACATGAAAATAAAAGGTAATAATGTGCATCGGTAACTTGTATTATATGTTATTTTAATTGTAGATTAAAAGATTTTAAGACATAATGCATAAAGTAGTAGTATTTAATGCTAAGGGGCTGTTTGTTTGGCTCTTAATGGTGACATTAAGAGCCAACCTCTTAATCGGTAAGAGGTAAGGAGTGTTTGGCAAAAAAAATCAAGCCTCTTAATGGTTACATAACCCTCTTAACCATTTTGCATCCAATGGTTCACTCAACCATTCAGACTTCTATTTTTCCAAGATTACCCTTCCCACCCCTTCTTCCCAACCCTCTCTTCACGCACGTCGCTCCGTCTCTGGTAGCCGGTAGCCTCCACCATCTCCGTCCCCGTCTCCGGTAGCCTCCACCATCTCCGTCCCCGTCTCCGGCAACCTCCACCATCTCCGTCCCCGTCTCTGGTAGTGACCGGAAAATAGCCTGTGAGACTCTCGCCTGTGAGACTCGCCGATTGTCGCTCGATTGGTGATGGTCAATGGTATCTTCGATTGTGAGACTCCACAGCTTCCGTCTCCGGTAGCCTCCACTATCTCCGTCCCCGTCTTGGTTGTCGCTCGATCGGTGATAGCCTGTGAGACTCCACAGCTTCCATCGCCGGCGACCTTCCACAGCTTCGATTTTGGTCGCCAGTCCCTTAACAGTAGCACAGCTTCGATTAGGTTTTCTTCCATTAGGTTTTCTTTCTTCAATTTTTAGTCGTTAGGTAAACCATAATGAAACTAGATGATCACTAAAAAAACAAAGAGGGTTAAAATGGTAATTTGCTTTTATTCAGAAAACAGTTACCAAACAACATTATTTCATTCAGCACTTAACCATTCTGACCCTCTTAACCATTCTGACCACTTAGTCATTCTGCACCAAACCATTCAGCAACTGCCAAACAGTCCCTAAGACTTTTAAGACTTTGTGCATAAATGTATAGTACTTTACGCATTAAAAATTGTTTTTAAGACTTTTGATAAATCCGGTTTATAAAGTAGTATAGATTATTGAGAAAAAAGTTAAGATAAGAAGTGTAATAAGTTATTTATATATTTGATCATTTTTTAATTTTTAATTGAATCATGAATCGTTTTTATATAGAGTTTGATCTGGTGCATCTCGTTCTAATGTGCATTTAAGGGTGAAAATCTCTTCTTACGCTTCTCACTTTAACTCTCGTTTTCATTGGAATCCAACCCTCATTTTCAAGATGTCTTTTTTTTAGAATGAAATCTATTAGGTGTTCTTTGTTTTTAAGAGGTATTAAAATCTGAAATCTTATTTCACTTTTGATTGATAAGAGGTGGTAAAAAAAATTGAAATCTAAACCAAAAAAATATTGTTTGTTTTTGTAAACTGACAAATGTTTGAATATGTATAACTGTTTATTTTATGTCTCAAAATATTATATTGTTGGAATTTATAAAACCATCACTTCATTTTAATTAAAATATATCATAATCTATTTTTAACACATTCAAAAATTCATGTCCATCTCTGTGCAAACTTGGGGGACATTTGGTTCGTCGGAATCCACTGGAATCTGATGGAATTGGAATGGTCAATTCCGTTGACCAAATTCCATACCAACATTTGGTTACCCATAGAATGGAATTGAATTCCAAAGATTCCCTCATTTGAGGATTTCACCATTCCTTCTAAAGCTGATGGAATTGAAATCCATTTCATCCAAAATTGTGTAAATGACAAAAATACCCCATGACAATTGGTTTATCTCATCTTAATAACCCTACCCAAATTTTTCTTCCATTCTCTCAATTGCTTCCAATCGATTGAAGACAGGTATGATTTCTACTTACTTCGATTTCTGCATAAGATTTTTGTTCCGATTTTAGTTTGATTTATGCTTATTGTGGAGATCGACGATGGAAAGTCTGATGAAATGGTGAAATCCTTAAATGAGGGAACAGTAAATAAATCAAGAACAAAAGGCAGTAGTAGATACGATGAGATAGAAGTAGAAGCAGGTTGGGGGAGGGGAGTCCGATGATGGAAAGTCGAAGTAGAAGACCGACTATTTGAAATCGAACCTTGAAATCAGAACCCTCTGGGACATTGGGGGAGAAATTGATCCTCTAAAATCAAAGCATATTTCTTTGTTCCTTTTCTTCCTGTCAATTGAAATCTAAGTAGAAGCAGATCTGGTCATCGGTTGTTGTTCCTTTTCTGCCGTCGTTTGAAAACGAAGCAAAAGCAGTCATCGGTCGTTCTTTCTCTTCCCATCTAAGTCGTAAGTGAAGATGGTGACTTGCCGTTAAACGTTTGGTAAACTTTTTGGAATATTTTCAGCACATCAATCATGCTCAACAGAACACTAAATTTAACATCAAAACGATGTCATGAATAGTAAAACGACAAATTTAGTGTACGACGTGTTCATAATTATATCCATATTGGAGATGAATTTTTAAAAGTCAAGTTAAAAAACGACCGATTTCTTGAAACGCTATTTAAAGTAATTGTTCAAAAAGCTAGCTTATGGGCTATGACCTACCAAACGACTTTGTAATTTGTAATTGTCGATGTACTCAAAAAATAAACTAGCTTATGGTTGTCAAACATGGTCTTTTAACTTTCCAGTGACAAACCAAACAAACACAGCTCATCCCACTCGACTTGACCTTCCAGTCACCAAACCAACCGAATCCGGTTTATCCTACTCAACTTGACCTTCCGGTGACCAAACCAACCCGATAACTGAGCTTGACCTTCCGGTGACAATGTAGAATAATGCCATATATAAAAAAATTTACTTGATCGACGTTTCCATTCCATATGAAGGTACAAGCATGAGGGAGAAAGATCAAAAGATTGATAAATTATGATCCAAGTGATGCTAAATCGGCTAGAACTGTAATCCCGATAATCAAAACTAAATCGCTTACATTTCGAGTAATGGGTTAAGCCGATGCCGATGCCGATGCCGATTCCTTGGCTTCTTCAGCTGCTTCTTCTTCCTGTAACTTCTTCAGGGATGGAGGTGGTCTTGGCACAATGCTTTTTCTCCATTGCCGGTCAAGCTTCCTTGATAGCCTCTTACCGATACCATCGTCAATTTCTCTTTCTCGTTTAACGGTCAGCATACGAGCAACCTATCAACATCAATATTCACAAAAATCATGTTTTCTTGATGAAATTTTGCAGAAGAGAGAAAAAACAGCAAATTGCATGAAAATGCAATGTTCTTTGGTCTGATTCCTATTTTGTGCAACAACATACTTTCATAACCTTCATTTTGGTACCTCCAATGTGATATATCAAACATTTAGACCACAAGGCGTTAACACGATAGGAATCAAAACAAAGTAAGTTGCATTTTCACGCATTCTCATATATAAATTAGGTACCTAAATGTTTGACATGTCACGTATGAGGTACCAAAATGAAGGTCTGGGAGATACGTTGTACAAAATAGGAATTGAACCAAAGTGCGTTACATTCATGCAATTTCCCCAAAACAAAAGGCACAAAGATCTACTAGATGGGCTAAAGAAGTAAGTTTTAACCACCACATTAAATTTCTTGTATTCCATCTATTGTAGTTTCTCTTTTGGGTATTTCTTGATTTACAGGCGTTTTACAAAATATAACATAAACAAAGTGTGATAACCGGGTTTATCGGTTACAAGTTCGGGTAGAAGTTGAGGGGTTTATTTTGTTAATGTGTTTAATTGTTTAAAATTCATCCACCGCCTCTTATGGTTTATAATTGTTATATGAGATATTGTTTTATCTCATAGGTTTTGTGAAAAAGATGGTAAAAGCAAAGAAAAGCTTTTTTTTTGTGTGTGTTTTGAGCTAAAGCAAAACAAAACCGAAAAGGGGAGAAAGAAGTTGATTATGTGATTCTAATTCTGAATGATTGTTGCTGTTTAATTGCTTTCAGCGAATCAAGGTGAGTTTTATATTAAAAGCTTTCATTTTTCAGTGTTGAAAATAGAATCGTATGGTTCTTTATATGGGAAGTTTGAAAACTGATATTATTCTATTTTTAGCATATTTTGGGTTTTGATATGATATTATCAAGTGAATGAAATAAGGGTAGCATATCAAGGAGAGATGTATTTTGGTTATAAGGGTGGCATATCAAAGAGAGGTGTATACCAAGATAAGGGTGGCATATCAAGGAGAGGTGTATATCACGATAAGGGTGGCATAATCAATGGAATGTAAAATCTGGGTTTTTGATCATATGTCAAATTGTTATCGCATCCTTGTGATGCGATGACCTTGAGTTATCGCATCTGTGTGATGCGAGGACTAGGGTTGTCGCATCTTATTGATGCGATAAGTTGTTGTTATCAGTTATCACATCCTTGTGATGCGATGACCTTGAGTTATCGCATCTGTGTGATGCGAGGACTAGGGTTGTCGCATCTTATTGATGCGATAAGTTGTTGTTATCAGTTATCACATCCTTGTGATGCGATGACCATGGGTTATCAAACCAGTGTGATGCGAGGACTTGGGTTATCGCATCGATAGTTGCTTTTATCGCATCCTTGTGATGTGAGGAGTGTGTTTGTCGCATCCTTGTGATGCAACAAGTTGTGTTTATCGCACCTGTGGGATGCAATGAGATGGGTTCTCGCATCTGTATGATGCGAGGAAATAGGGTAGTCTCACCCGGTGTGTGTTTATCGCACCAGTGTGATGCGATGAGATGGGTTCCTCCACCAGCATGTTGCAAGGAAATGGGGTTATCTAACCTAATGTGATGTGAGGGAATTATGGTTTGATTTATATGAAGCATTAAGTTTATGTGTTATGCAATAAATGGGTATTTTGTAGTTTGATGTGACAAAAGAGGGTTGTTTTGTCAAAACGTTGTTTATTTGTTATTTATACAAATATGGGTTTTATAAAAGGGTTTTGATGATTTTCACCCTATAATAGCAATCAAAGGAATTTCTAACTAGACCTCAAGGTCTAACCCTCATTTTGGTGTTTTAAAATGTGCATTACAGGTCAGGCAATCAAATGATAAGGGGAAGGGGTATTTATGAAGAAATATATGATTGTCTACATATGGATTTTGGGATAATGTATTATTACTTGTACGTGCATACTTGTTATTAATACAAGTTTTGTATATGGGATTATGGAAGAAAAATTTGGTAGCTATTTCTATATCATAGCTTTTGTTAGATTTGGGACCAAATGTGGAAATTGTATTTAATGATATATGCAAATGTGGATTTTGGGGGTGTCACAAAGTTTATATGCCTAGAAAATCACCAACTTAAGAAATAAATCAATAATTATTAGCAAAAAATAAATATATTTGATGCAATTCATTATTTTAGAGAGTGAATATATATGTAGATCCATTTCTCAGATAACAGGAGCAATCACTATAAAGCACAAGCTGAAACAGGTGGCGTTAAGAGACCCTCCTGGCCCAACCCTAGACACACCTGGTGCAACGGCTCCTGGTGCAACAGCAAGCACCAGTTAGGATGAATTGAGACGGTATTTTGTAAATACGTAATTATCTTGAATAGATTAAACCCTTTGAGTGGCACCACATCCAGGTTAAACTAGTAACTAAAACCCTAAAAGGGCCCGTTTGGTTTGACCGAATGTTTTTTAGGGATTTGGCTTTCATGGAAGGATTTGGAATTTTTAGTTTGATTGGTTTGTACGATTTGGAATAGAGTTGAATTCTATTATTTATAGATATTTTATGAATAAAAAAACAAATTATAAAAATAATAACATTACCTTTTATTAATTGATTATTACAAAACAATTTTTTTTTAACATGTTTTAAAACATTTTTACAAACAAATCCTATGAAATCCCAAGAAAAACCAACCACCCATGCGATTTCTAAATCCAATGCTTGTGGGATTTCATAGAATTCCCTAGATTTTAATCCCGGACTTTCGTTTAAACCAAACGCCGGATTGGAATGAGATTCAATTCCAAATCCTACAAAATCCAGCAAACCAAAAGGACCCTAACTTGATGCTGTAGATTATGATCAAAACTTTAGGATAGAACTCATGGGCATCAGTTCAGATTGACCATTACAATTTTGGGATGGCACCATACTCAACTACAGTAGACTATTCAAATTTTGAACTGCCCTCTTAGAACATTTTTGGAGCAAATGATCACATACTCGAACATCGACTTCTAGAACTCTAAATTGGGCAATTATTTCTAGAAAAAACAAATTGGTAACCCTATTCATTGTTTCCAGAAGGCAAACTACAACTCCAGTAAGCTACTTAGAACTTGAAGTTTCCTACAGGGTTTCTTTGACCCAATGCTACCAAATGTCTTTGTTGAACAAGGGTTGTGGGTTTCAGACTCCCTCCAGTTAGGGATGGCAACGGGGCGGGGATGGGGCGGGGTTTGCAATCCCCGGCCCCGGCCCCGGTTTATACACACAGTCCCCGGCCCCGGCCCCGGTCAACTTTCGGTCAACCCCGGTCAACCCCCGGTCAATACCCGGTCAACACCCGGTCAAATAAAAATTAATAAGTTTTTTCTAAGCATGATCAACATAACAACATAATTACATCATATCTAGTCTTGCCTAATAAAAATAATAAAATTGTAAAATTAACAATAATCCAAAGAAATGTAAAATTTAAAACAAGTGTTAATATAATTACATCATATCTAGTCAAGAAGAGTAGAAGAGGATTGAAATTTGGACATATCAATTACAAAGCCCAAGTCCATAAGTCCAACATGCCGCACATATCAATTATAAGCCCAAATAATCAAAATGTTAATATTTATATATATACCGGGTGCGGGGCGGGTCGGGGGATACAATACCCGGCCCCGGCCCCGGCCCCGGTTTTCCTCTACCGGGGATCCCCGGCCCCGGTACCCGTTTTAGCGGGGAATCCCCGTCCCCGTCCGGGTCGGGTGAACCGGGTTCCCCACCGGGTCGGGCCAAATCACCATCCCTACCTCCAGTTAGTGTTTATTTCAAGATTATTTGAGCTTTCCACTTGGAACAAATGATTGTACCACTAAATGAAACTTGATACATTGAATTCTACAGCTCTACAATATGGAAATTATTAATATTTCTAGTTTCTGTAACTAAGATACTAGCATTACCCTAATCACTGTTTTCAAACCTGTAGAAATTTATTGGAAATCAAGTGTCATAAATTCAAATTTTGACTATAAAGCATGAAATGTACCTCCAATTGAAGAACAAAACCCCAAGTTTGTTCAGACAATTGGTTGGGGATGACGAGTAAATTTGCAAGGTATTCAAAAAAACCCTAAATCCAATAAACGAAGCTAAATAATATCATACCCTTTTACGCATCCGGCGGAATTCACTCGACTTAAACTCATTCCTGGCCGACCTCTGAAGACGGAGCATAAACAGCTCTCCTTTGAGATCAACGATTTCATCATTGATTTCTTCAGTGGTTTTGGCTCTGATTTCCTTCAATTCTTCTTCTTTCTTGGCCATCATTACAACAGATTGGCGCGTTGTTGCTGTTGTTGTTCGAAAGGCAGGTGAGGGGAGAACGTGAGCAATTCGGATGCCATTGAAGGAAGATTTGTTGGAAATGTTTGAAGAAGTTAAGAAGGTCTTGGGAGTAACAGTAATGGCGGAAGTGGAAGAAGCAATGGAGAGGGTGAGCATCTTGATGCTGTGTTATTGGTGCCTCGTTTGTAGAGTGGATTGTTGGAGATAAGGATATTGCGATATATGGGTACATCCGGATTTGCGTCGGGTCGGGTCAGATCGGGTGATCAATGTTTGGGTATCAAATAAATAAACAATGATGAGTAAATTGTAAATTTGGTCCCTTTGATTTACAAATCTACTGGATTTAGTCCCTATAATTTAGAAATTACAAAAATCTTATGGTTTGTATTTTGCTATGGGTTTTGTTTCTCAGACTAATGGCCGTTAAAGAGGCTCTTTTAAGTTATTTCATGTGTTGAGCATGTGAGGGTAATTTGGTTATTTTACTGAACGTATTTATTATTGATTTTAGAGTAAATTACATTTTTCGTTTTTATGGTTGTCACTTATTATCAAGTTTTGTTCTATTTTGAATTAAATCACATCTTTTGTCTCTATCGTTGTCACTTTGTTACAGTTTTGGTTCCTCACACTAACTTTCATTTAAAAATGGTGTTAAATTAGGGCATTTAAGTCTTTTCTAATTTTATTATATTCTCCTTTAAAAATAAGGAATATATTATTATATATATTATATTATATATATATATATATATCTATATATATATATATATATATATATATAAAACATGTGTTTGTGTGTTATATTACATATTACATACATATATACACACACATAAGCACAAGCACAAATCAGGAAAAAAATTGTTCTACATCACCACCGTCATCAAAGCTCCGCATCATAGTCAGCCATTTTTTCCCGTTTCTCTCGATGGCCACTAGCATCATGGTGATTATCTGATGTTGTCAGATTTACACAACCTCAAAAGCCTATGGTAATTGGGAAACCTTGCAAGTATACATATTCTCCCAATATAGTCTTAACCAAGTAATAATGATAAGAATGTCAGAAATCGATCCACGGGATAGGAAAGTAAGGTTTCTAAGAAGTCAAACTTAAAGTAAGATTTTCAGATGGTGAATTCGAATGAATGATTTTGAGTGACTTAACAGCTACTGGAAATGTTTACAGTTAAATGAAAACAAGGGTGCAAGTTTAGGTTAGAGTTTATCAACTAAGTGCAGAGAACCTTGCTACAACATGACCCGGTGGGATGCTACAGCAATAGTTCTCAATTTCCATCACTGGCTTGAACAATCCCCTTTATAGGTTCAAGTTACACCGTTTGCTAGCAGCAGCCAATTTAGTACAGTTCTGAGCACATCAAACCTTATAGTTTTCTCCATATAGTTTGCAACCCATAAAGGTTAACGCAATTATTTATAGCCATCTGTAACACTCAATGGTCTATAAATTTGTGTTGGCTTACATTTAAGTCCAACTCATCCAAGTGAAACAACATGTGTTAATTTGTCAAGAATTACATGGATGAAACTTAACAACAATGAGTGATTAATGGAGTTGATAGCTATTAGTGAATACAATTATCAGCTACCATGTAGGCTTTTATCTCCCACACCTTCACTCATACCCAAGTTAGGGTATTTAGTCATTTTTCAGAGTTATACTTCAGAGTCATTCTTCATAGTCATTTTTCAGAGTCGTTTCTTCAGAGTTTTACTTCAAAGTTATACTTCAGAGTCATTATTCAGAGTTATAACAAGAGTACAAGTCTAAATTCATTATTCAGAGTTATACTTTAGAGTTATACTCCAAAGTTATTTAAAGAGTACAAGTCTGAAGAGTCATTCCAAAGAGTTAGCTCACCCGAACTTTGAAGTCTACTTTTTCATAATCTTAGCTCACCCGAACCTTGAAATATGAACTTTGAAGTATTATTTTTTAAACTTAGAAGTTTGAAACACTTAAGTCTTTTTTTAGACTTAGAAAAGAAGTCTGAAATCATCTTTTGTTCGGACTTAGAATTTTAAACTCTGAAGTCTTCTACAAGTCTGAAGAGTCATTATTCAAATTTAATTCACCTGAATTCTGAAGTCTTCTTTTTCAGACTTAGCTCACCCGAACTCTGAAGTCTTTTTTTTTTTCAGACTTGGAAGTCTAAACTCTGATTTAGTGGGATTGATTTTATATTTCAAAGTTATTTCAAGAGTACAAGTCTGAAGAGTTATTCTTCAGAGTTATTTCAAGAGTACAAGTCTGAAGAGTCATTATTCGTAGTTAGCTCACCCGAACTCTGAAGTCTTTTTTTTTCTTCAGACGGAGCACCATGCAGAGCCTTTGCGTAGTGCATACAGAGCTTCTGGTTTGCCTATATAAAGTTATGAAGTCTGAAGAGTTTTATTTTAAAGTTATTTCAAGAGTACAAATATGAATAGTCATTCTAAATTACTTCTAAGTTTAAATTCAATTTACTACTATAGTTTCATTTCTAAATTTAATTTTATTATAAGGTTAACTTCATTTTAACTAATTATTGATATAGTTTCATTTCCAAATTTAAGTCTGAAGAGTCATTTTTCAGAGTTATACTTCAAAATTATTTCAAGAGTACAAATTTGAAGTAGCATTGTACTTTCGATGATTATTCATATATGTAAGATAAGTTTTCTGACATGATTTAATTTTTTAAAATTATCTCGTGTAATACACGGATCGCCCTAGTATATAAATATATATGATATTATATTATTTTATTTTAATTAAAAGTTAAAGAACTACTAAAAAGATGAAAATACTCCCTGAGTCAACAGACCTATTAAACAAAAGTTACTCTAAGGGATAAAAAATGAAACAAAATGGCAACCACAAAGACCAAAAAAGTAATTTACGCAATATTATAAGATCAAGGATTTCCCGCTCAAAATTAATATAAAATCTAAAAATCTAAAACTTTGTTGTATTAATCAAAAAGAAAAATTAGTTATATACGCATATACAAATTTAACTTGATTTTTAATTTTGATAGTTAATATAATGACGATTTATTATAATTATAATTTTAAAATATATTGTTTTTTTACTAAACGGGTACCCAACTAGGGCTGTAAACGAACACGAACGGAGGCTTGTTCATGTTCGTTTAACTTAACCAAAAAATGAGCGAACACGAACGGTAAACGAACGAAAATCTTTGTGTTCGTGTTCGTTCGTTTAGAAATCAGGTGTGTTCGTGTTCGTTTGTTAACATGCTAAACGAACGAACGGGCTAAACGAATATAAACGGAGGGCTAAACGAACATAAATAAATATTATTTGAATTCAAAGTAAATAAACAAAAGATTATATATGAAATTTAGTATATAAACGAACGAACGGTAAACGAACGAACATTCACGAACATAAATGAATGAACAAGACTCTTATTCATGTTCGTTCGTTTAATTAAATGAACAAAAAAATTTGTTCATTTTCGTTCATTTATTAAATAAACGAACTTCCCGTCGAACGGTTCGCTGAACGTTCAGTTCGTTTACAGCCCTATACCCAACAGGTTTCTTGGACTCGTCAAGATTTCTTTCCCCTGAACCCATCGAGGATTGGTCAGGACAGGTTCGGAGACAAAGGGCTTAAACGGGGGTCAGGGATGGGGAACCGGTGGGGTGACAACTAGTTTTGGTATGTTGGGGGAACATGTTTCTCTAACCATAAGAATGAAAAAACAATAAATTATAAACCATAAGGATGAAAACTGTAAGTTTAAAAGAAATAGGGATAAAAAGAGCAACTTTTAACAAATTAGAGGGACTAAAAACGTAGTTTACTCTATTGGCTATGATATTTCCTCTTTTTTGACGCTTCTTCCCGGTGTGTGCGCACTGCGCCTCTCCTTCCATTTTTGCTTTACTCTCTCTTTTCTGTCGCACTGAACTCCATCTCCACCGCTCTCACAAAAACCTAAGCTTTCATGCCTATACGTTTCTGCTTTTACCTTTTCCTTTCATCTATCAACTACTCTAGATCTTATCACTTCGATTCGCTACTTTGATTTCTCATCTTCACCGCATTGCAGTTACTTTGATTGAAGTTGCCATGGAAGCAGCTCCAGCTGTTTTTGTTGCTGTATCTATGGCGGTAGTGGTTCTGTTAGTGGAATGTGGCGTATCGGCAGAAGCAGAATCACATGTGACGTACTCTTCCAGACTGATTCATCGGTTTTCTGATGAAATGAGAGCTCTTAGGGTTTCGAGGGAGGGACAGGTGGTCGATGATTGGCCTGAGGAGGGGAGCTTGGGTTACTATCGGCGGCTTGTGAGGAGAGATGTTGAAAGGCAGAAGATGAACGTTGGGTCTCAGCATCAACTCTTGTTTCCGTCTGCGGGCAGCGTCACTATGTCTGGCGGAAATGAACTTGGATGGTTAATTCTCTTGCTTTCACTTGTTAAGCTTCCTAGTAATTTTTCTGTACTGGGTCTGCGATAGAAAAACTTCACGAGCTAATAATTGGATCGATACACATAGTTAGAAACATGAGCGTTTACGCCGTAAGAAACTTCCTTTCTTTTGTCTGCCGTCATCTGCTGGTTCGCTTGTGTAGTATTTTCACACAAATGGATTGAAGAAATATCTCAATGTTTTCGTTTAACTAAGAATTTCCTATTTATTTGATGAAATTTTGCTTTTTCAAAAAGCGTTTCTTTCTCTTTACAAGAGTTGAATTCTAGAAGTACAATAAAGCTAAATGATGTAGGGTTTGCTTGAATTTCAAGCACGTTAAAATTAGGTCAATATAATACAACAAATAAGATCCGCTAATTTTGTTGTGATATGGTTCAGAATCAACGATATAAAAGATGATAATTCTATGTTACAGTCTTTTAGCAAGGAATATTATCAAGTCAATGGTCAAGAGAATCCATGTTCCCTGATTATACATTTTACTGAAATTGACTACATTGTGTATATGTGTGACCTTATTCCATCTTATTGATAATTCATGATACAGATCCCACAAGGGGGTATGTTGTATAGAGCTTGTTTCATTTAACACACTGAGTTTTTTAAATGGTGCTCTTGTTTTAGTTCCTGTTATGATAACGTCTTCCTGCCAGTTTTTCGTTATTTTCACTAAGCTGGTATCTGTCACAGGTTACATTATACTTGGATTGCTGTAGGGGTGCCGAGTGTTTCTTTCCTTGTTGCACTTGATACTGGAAGTGATCTTCTCTGGCTTCCATGTGATTGTGTGCAGTGTGCTCCACTTTCAGTAAGATACTATGTTAGTCAGTATACCAGCCTTACTTATATTTCTGGTCTTATACAGGTTACCTTACTTTTGCGTATTTCCTCTACTTGGTGGTTCTTTTATTATTATTATCATTTTATCTTTGTATATGTTCTGAAACTGTGATGCTTATCCTAATTATTCGTAAATTTTTATGGGAATTATCTTTATAATCTTAATCTATTGGAGAATCTTTATTTAACTTCATATGGTAAGTGGTTAAAGTTGTGCCTAGGATGAAGCCTTTTTCAGATTTGACCTACGCTTCTCGGCTGTGTCGCTTCAACAGGCAAACATCAAAATTTCCTATTGTTAAGTTTTAAAGGGAATGTCACATTATTTTTGAAGTTATTTGCACCAATTAGGCAATTACCACTTACAAGAGTATTTGATAGCATATACATTGTGAAGTTTATGATCTATAATCTTGAAGAAACCCTTAGAAGTGAATAAGTGATAAGACGTGAATGATCATTTTAGAGCTTCATGAATATCCAAGATAAGTGGTAACATCTTTCTCTTAATCCCTAGTACATCAAGGTTAGGTCTTCTCATCTTTCGGCATATGTTTGCATATCATAGTTCTTATCCTCTCAGTTTGAGATACTAGCTTTATGTATTGGTGTCTCTTCTTGCTAATGCCCTGAAATAAAAAATGTGAATCCATTTGTGTCGACCCTTTTTAGGGTCTTTACATACCAAAAATGTCCCAAAAATATTATAATATCTCTACATGTCTAAAGAAGCAAATGGATGGATGAAGCTGCAGAATAAGAGAGTGCTTCTACTGTATACTGTAAGTATACTAGTTACAGATACACTTTTTTGCCAAATACAAATGCATATTTAATATAAACCTACCACCCACAAACTGAGATCAGGGAAAAAAGTTCTTTTAGCGTAAGTCTCTGAAAGATTTGTTGCTTTCTATTATTAAAATATATATTGCTTTACATAAATCCATCTTTCCATCGCCTCAAAAGTCACTTTGACAGGAAAAAACATAGAAAATCATCATTTGTAGCTTTCCCAAATATGTATGCAATTCCATTCTGTCCCTAGTCAACCAACGGAGAGAAGGTAGTGTTCAGGAAGGATAAATAACTTCGACCCTTTTTCCTCTTATCAATCATGTGTATCTCATCTTCTGTACTACATTCGACACTTTTAATATATTCCTGATTGATCAAGAAGCCTCTATCAACAAGATAAAAGATGAAATTTTACTCATTTGTGAAATTTGGCAAATAAAAATTCTACGTTCCGTACCCTTTTCTGTTTTGTATTCTAGAGTTTACTAATATGGCTAATCGTTTTTCTTTTAGGTTATAGTTTTTACCGGTTTCTTTCTTCGCTCTCTATAATTTCTTAGAAAGAAAAAGGAGGCCAAGTGACAAATTTATCATGATGCTTTTGTTATTACTAATCATATTTGTTGTTACTTATATTGTTACTTCTCGCTCTTCTTCCATTTGTTTTTTCTCACATTTCTCATGTTTGCTGCATCAAATATGCTAGTGCGAGAGGCAAAAGCTTTAAGATGTGAGGAAGTTGTGTGATAACGTCCTTGGTCTTTATTTTTCCCTCTCCATATATTTGTATAAATGCGGGAATATCTTCTGCTTGCGTGGATGCTCTCACACTTGATAACCTTTTCCATTTGGTACAACATCTTTTTCAAATAGATGGGTTGTTATGAGAATTGGGAAGGATTTGCCCAAATGTAAAGCCATTATAGGAAATAGTTGATTTTTTTAACTGTTGCCACTGTATTTATATGTTTGTCCCTGGTTGTTTTGTTATTTTCCCATGCACATTCTCTCCCATCTAACATAATTGCATTCCTTTCTGAGAATGAGCTGACCAAGGCTTATTCTTCCATAAAGTTTAATAATAGGAATGAAAAACCATCCATGCATTAAGAAAACGTGCTTATCTCATTCGTGTTTGGAGATATCGTACTTAGTAATGATCAAACACACTTGCGCCACCACATTTATGTGTTCACATTCTCATGTAACATACAATTTAGACAAGGCCGTCTGTGTGTCTACCTTTCCCTTCCACACAGCTAATAGACTCCACCTCAAGGGGATGCAATAATTCCATATTAGTTGTCAAAGAGGTGTACACAAAACCTGGTTACAGTTTTAGCGCTTATTCAAATTGATTGATTTGCAGGTGCTCCCTGGTATTTGGGGCATCTATTATGCAGGACAATGATCTGAATGAATACAATCCATCTCACTCAAGTACAAGCAAAAGCATAACCTGCAGCCATCAGCTGTGTGAATCAGGTCCAACTTGCAAAAGCTCTAAGCAGTCTTGCCCTTACACTGTTAAATATGCCACGACAGATACATCCAGTTCAGGATCACTGGTTGAAGACATATTGCACCTTGCATCAGCTGGTGTTAATGCATCTAACACCTATGTAAGGGCTCCGGTCATTATAGGGTATGTTCTCTGTTTGATCTTCAACTTCCCATCAGATTTACATATCTTAATTGATTATGGTCTCAAGATGGGCTTTTCCTGTATAGGTACTCAATGAGACTTACTTATGGTAGTTATTAAATGCAGATGTGGTCGAGAGCAGAGTGGTGGTTACTTGGATGGTATTGCTCCTGATGGTGTTCTGGGCCTTGGGCTTGGTGCGGTCTCAGTTCCAAGCTTCCTTGCCAAATCAGGAGTTACAAGAAATGCTTTCTCTTTGTGTTTTGGCGAGGCTGGTACTGGGGAAATATATTTTGGCGATCAAGGACTAGCTGGCCAAAGAACTACTCCATTTTTGCCAATAGATGGAAAATAGTATGGATCATCTACATGGTTTTAAGGCACTTATTATCTTTTATCTTTTGGATGTCAAACTTATATGATGCTATAAACTTGGCATGAAAGTCTTTCTACCCAATTATTTAATGGTGTGGACGGTCATGCAGCATTGCCTACATAATTGGAGTAGAGAACTTCTGTATCGGTACTACTTGTCTAGACCAGACAACCTTCAGAGCTCAATTTGATAGTGGAACTACTTTTACACTCCTTCCAGATGGAGTATATAAACTGGTTGTTGAAGAGGTAAGCCTCCAGCAATTAGATTCTGCAGTTTAATTGTAAAGTTCTAGTTCATGACTGTCTGCTTTTTCTGTTCTCATAGTTTGACAGACAAGCAAATGCCACAAAATATAATTTTGAAGACCTACCCTTTCAACATTGTTACAAGTCCAGGTATTTGCACGAGAAAGAGAATAGTTTTTGAGTCACTTCTTGCATTTTCATGATTTACTTTGTCTATTCATTGTGATTTGGTGTAAAACAGTTCTCAGCAGTTGCCAGAAATTCCATCAGTGACTATTAGGTTTGCAGTGAACAACAGCTTCGTGGTCCATGATCCACTTTTTGTTTTGAATGACAGTCAGGTTGGTATTTCAAAATGTTATTATGTTTCATTGTTTTAATGTTAAATGTATGTTTGGATAATAACGATGCGTTGCTAAGTTATCATGTGTGCTTTACCTGTTTTCATTTATCTTCTTTATCAGAACACATTTGTCTATGGGTGGGGGGAAGTGGTTTTATGGTTGAGGAATGGTATTTGGCTGGTGTTGCATTGCAAGCTAAATTGAATCTATTGTTGCTAGCCTTCAGTCTTAGAAATTGTCTTTTCATCTTCTTTAGGCATTCCAGATAAACCTCTACATTGTAACGCTGTCAATCCACGAGTCTACAATTTTTGGTTCTTTTATGTCTCTGTATGTTGCAACTGCATTATGGGGAAAATTTGGAAGCTTTAGGCATGAATGACATAGAATGGAAAATTTTCCGATTATGAAGGTGTTCTCAAACTTGCATATTTCACTCGACATCATTAGAGTTAGAAATACAAACCCAATATGGTGGCTAAGGCATCAGTTAGGCAATGCTATTTGTATAGGTGCTCAAGGGTGGTAAAACATATGTATGCTACGATGGTTGTTTTAAACTGAAGGCATCAGAGTTGTGGTTTCTTTGAGTGTTCTGCTGCCAATGAAGTATCCTCCTGTTGTCATCTGAATATTCTAGATTTGGATTGATGGAAAAGAGAATCATGTGATTTAAAGAGATAAATTGGGATACGAGTAGGGATGTAATTAGTTTTCTTTTGAGATATAAAATTATGTTTTCCTGAAATAGGAGTAAGTTGCTTCCTTTACAACCATTATTTTGTTTCTTTTCTTATATCAAGATTTTGTATTTTTAGAAAATAGGATATTTTTTTGGCAGAAAGATTAATTTGGGCTCCCTATAGAAATAATATCTATTTTTCTTTGTTGATCATGCTCGTTGATGTGCTTGCAAAAAAGTAATAAGCACACAGTGTGAAAATCCATTAGTTAAACATGAATGAATCATGCCCCTAAGACAGGTTTAACACACAACATATTGTCACGACAACATATTTGGGAAGTTTCATATGTGTAATTGCTTATAATTTAGACCTCAATGGTTTTCTCATGTTGTCACTGCATCATATTCGTGGTCTGATAAATGTTTTCTTAGATCTATGGGCAGATGGAACCCAATATGAAAAGGAATTGATCAATGAGTAATGTTTGTTAGCTCAGTCCATGGTTGAATGGACCATAGTATCATCTGTACATGCCTAAATCCTCATACAATCTGTTTTCTGAAAAAGGTATGTCTCATCCATTAACAACACATGGGCCAAGGCTGACAAAGATAAACATGAATTAGATAGACTAGGGGGTTGTTCGGTTTGTTTGTGATTTTAGTAATATGACTGAAATCATTTGGCTATTTTGTATGATTTGATTCCCAAGAGAATGAGGGGTTGATAGTCAAGCTATAAAACGGGTTAGGGGGCCGCACCCCTTGGTGGGTTCTAGGGGAAAGTGGTGGGCAGGGTCGAGGGAGGCCACTGTCACAGGGCTCGGGGCATCACAGCGAAACAAAAAGGAATTTAAGAGGGTTGGCACTAATGATTTTAGTGTCATGTTGTAGATAAGTGGCTATTCATTAGTGTTCAGTAACACTGATGAATGTGCCCATCAGCAGCAGCTGATGCCACATTACCCACTGATGTTGATCAGTGGTGTTTCCACCAATTTGTAACTGATCTGTTTATTTTGCTACCGCCTGATAATTGCCCATAATTTTCAGCAGTCATTTCCCTTTACGAACCGTTACGGTTACTCGAGATTTATAGGTTATGATTTCTACCTAAATCGAAACTGTGAATTGAGATTATCCTGAAGTAAATTTATAGGTTTCAACTATTGATATAGTTAAAAGCTTTTTGGTGAGAAGAAAAACCATATTTTCAAGCTTGCATACCCGATTACCAGCTACAGGAAATGCCCTTAAGCTTGAGAGTAAAATGCTAGTGTGCATCTGATTAAGCTGTTGTTTCTTTGATTGAGTTGATGATTTCCAATGATTGAAGACTTACACAACTTGTACGTCCACTCCTTCGAGAAATTTGACAGAGGATGAGACATTTATAAAGGTCACTTAGAAGAATGAAACGCTGTTTCAAGAATTGAAAAGGCACCAGGCTAATTTTAATGCTTAGTAGTTGTTATATTAATTTAATATTAAAGGATGAACGGAACAAACACTTGTATTAGTGGTAAAAGGCATTGGGTCGATATCACAAGACCTAGTTTTGAAACTTAGCATTGGCAATGATTTTTTAAATATTCCTTATTGTATGGCTTGGCTCGAAAAAAGGGATACTCGTATGGCTCGGCTCTACTCGAAAAATTTAATCAAGCTTTTTGAACGAGCCGGGTCGAACATTAGTGTTGCAAAGTTCGACTCGTAAAGTTAAATGAGCTTTTTTTTTTGTTCAAGATCGACTTGAGCTCGTTAAAAGCTCGAATCATTTACACCCCTAGTTGCAACTTGAGATCATTGGTCTCTCATGTGTTTGCACTTGCTCAAGTCACTAACAACTAGTGAAAACTATATGGTCATTCAATATGCATACATTCATCATATTTTATCATATCATTTTTAGTGTCTAAGCTGATAGGAGGTTGCTATGCTCAAATTACATAAGCACTTATTTTCTGTTTCCCTATTAATACAATCCCCATTGTAAGTACTTGAAACATGTGTAGTCTTGTATGTAGCAATAGCAACACTCTTTTGACGGGTTGAAAGCAGCACTTGAGTTTGTCATTTTTAAGCAAGAACATAATATCTTCGTGGGTCTTGTCTTACAGGGAGGACTTGTTGGATTTTGTTTAGCCATTCAATCATCACCTAATGAGATGGGAATCATTGGACGTAAGCATTCTCAAAATTTTCCAATATTTATGTAATAATATCCAAACTTATCACTTTATGAGGATTGAGAACCTATCTTTCTAGTTGGAATCTAACAGTAGTATAAGAACATACTACAATTCATGCTTCCTTTTAAGAATGTTCAATGCTTCCCCCACCCCCACTAAATCTATTCACATTTTACCCAATAAGAATATGACCAGCCTTTCTCTTGCACAAAGTCAATAACAATCTCTTGGTTCGATTTATATTCGTGCAGAGAACTTCATGAAAGGATATCGGTTGGTTTTTGATAGAGAAAATCTTACACTTGGGTGGTCACGTTCAAAATGTAAGTACATCAACCACATTAGACCAACGGCATGACATAATTGAACACATCATCTTCGTATTTTTGTTTATTATAAACATCATTAAAACCATTATTTACTAAGAGGGTGTGTTACCATAGAAAGAAATATACTATTAGCCATACTAATTTGACAAACCATGATGAAGGTTAATGAATGTGACAAAAACTTGTTTCGGAATTGACCCAACAAATACTTGCAATGTATTTATATTGTTTGACATGTCAGTTTTCCAGCCAAAGTTACCATAATCGTTAGTTGGAAAAAAGTTGCTATACATTATTAAACCAACGAATGTCCTATAGAGACATTTGTGCTTTTCTTTGGTAACCCCGTGAGTATCTGGGTTAGCTTGTGAGTCTCGACTAATTCCATGGACCCTAGTGTTAACAGTCAGACAAACCCTTCGGTGGCCCAGAGGGGACTTGGAACAGGTGACCTCTAAGGACATTTGTATTCTTGTACCTAAATAATCGCACGGATATGAATATCCATTTTCAAGTGGTTGAAGTTTGATGGTGTCTCTTTAGGTCAAGCGGTGAAGGGTGAGAAAACGACAGGAAGTAATGCTAGCTCTCCAATTTCATTGCCAACAACGGAGCAACAAAGGACCCCTAGCACGCATGCCGTTTCCCCTGCGGTTGCTGGAAGGGCTCCTCCCTCTAAATCTTCAGCCACCTCGATTCTGTCAAATTGGTCTTCTCTATCCAAGGTACTGCTTCTTGTGCCGCTACTATTTCATCAACTCACTCGATGTAAATACGAGACCATTTTTTAGCTTGTAGGAGTGTCATATGTTAGATCAGTGGTGTGTTATCCTTGGATTTCTTTGTGGAAATGGTATAATGAGTGAATGTAATATGTCGAGTATAAGTTAAATGCGTTCACGTAAATATATCGAGGGGGATGATGTTGGTCTAGTTTCTAGTATCACGTGCATTACAACATTCGTATCCGAGAGATATCAGGGTTTTTGGTTGGTCGATATATATCAGTTACAAATTTTGGGTTATGTATGTGTGGTAATGTATTATGAATGTTGATAACAAATTTTGGCTTCTCGATGGTTGGTTTAATATGATCTAATAAGGGGGAACCAGAGATGGTTGAGTACGAGGGCGGAGACTCGCAGTAGGGGAAGGAGCGGTTACAGTTTTGGTTTTCGTGGTCGGATGCTTTTATGGTAGAGGTTTGTGGTTGTTGCGGTGGAATGCTTGAATGGTAAATAAGGAGATGATCGACGAGGTTCATCAACGACCTGGACGCCAAAGTGACGCTAACTATGTAAGAAAACAAGAAAAATGTCGTTAATGTACAAAATCACATGTGATTTTACATTAACGTCAAAAAATTGTAGCAAACGATTTGTCTACTAGAATATATATCGGCAAAATAGCCCCGTAACTTCGGGAGAAGCGGTGCCTCCTCACAAAGGGGGTCGCAGTGACCAGACCTGGGCGACTATTTACCAAAAACACAGGTCTCCGCAAAGTCGTAAGACCATGTATGGGGGTTGACGCCTACCCAGTGCCGGAAGGTCAAGGAGAAGTTGGTGACCTGATGACAGGGGAGCCGACGACCAAAGCCCCGAGGAACGGCGGCCGTAACTATAACRGTCCTAAGGTAGCGAAATTCCTTGTCGGGTAAGTTCCGAGTTCTCGCTTTCAAATTCTAAAAAACCGAATATTTCACTTAGTGCTTTTAACCAATTAAAAAAAAATTTAAGGCTGAACCTAAACCTAATAAGGACCAAAAAATGGATTACGATCCAATTGCAAGAGCGGTGCTCTACCAACTGAGCTCAAGCATAACAGACATTTTGTTCGTCGAGATACTTGCATTTCCAAATGCTCGCCAATTTTGAAAAAACCCTGAGGTTATTTGTAATACTATGCCCAACCTGAAACTTGTGATTGGTAGTAAAACACCAATTCTCTCGCGGTAGTTTATAGTCAAGGCCGTGTAATTAATAATTAGGCTAATATCATTAACCGTGCTAACCTACTCATAACTCAAGTTGAATAATTCTCAAATATCTTTTTCTAGTCGTCAATTAAAAGGAGCCATTTTCTCCAAATGGAAAGAGAGAGGATAGAGAATCTGTTGATAAGTTTATCTGGAACTCGAGTTTTTGGTGCGATTGCCCGAGAATTGAAGGATCGTGATCCCGCGAAGGTGAGCTAACTCCAAAAACCCGTCCTCAGTTTTTTCTGACAAAATAAAAATGGTATATATGATTGGTCATAAAAAAAAAAGAGATGTTAATTAATCAAATGTCCAACTGATCGTCGCGCCTGTATTCACTAAAAAAATCATTTTGTAGCGAATAATTTATTAAAAAAATAAATTTGGGCGAACAAAGGGATGTTTGTGTTACTCAAGTCGACATTCTTGCTTCCGCTTCATCCACTACCGCTCGCAGATTTAGGTGCCAAATAGGCGGGAGGTTCCATTTTTCTCTTAATGGGAACAAGGAAACACCACTTCAATTATCTCACGGATCCAGGAGGTTCTACCCTGTGGAAACGCTCTTTAATGGAACTTTAGCTTTACTCCTCTTACTACAGGGCGCTTACCTAGCCAACGTTTAGATCTGGCTCTACCCGAACTTTTCTGGTGTCGATATCAATGGTGACTCATTATTTCGATGAACCATTTCTTCGGACGAACCCCCGACACCGTGGTTTGTAGCCACATGCTCTAACTCTGAATACTTGATATGACCTCAAAATAACTTGATAGTTATTTACTTAATTGATGAATAGAAGTATACTCTGGATCGGAATCTTTTGTTTTTCTGGTCCAAGTGTATCTTGTCTTTACCACGAACAAATTTCCTTGTAAATGAATTGCTAGTTGTAGAATATTATTCTCGTCAGACTTAAACCTAACAAAAATAAAATCAAAACTAATAAGAATAAGGGGTTTTTATAGTTTACACACTTTTGTATTGCCGCTTCTTACTGTCATATTTATGTTTTAGTAGTGTTTATATATATATATATATATATATATATATGGGAGCGATCAAATGCAAACCATTCAATTTGTACAAACCGTGCAAACCTCATTCAACCAATCATAA